ACGCACTAACACGGGGCACTTTTATGCTCATAGTCATGCAGATTTGGAAGACTTGGAAGAGGGCGGTTCCTCGTGTAACTCTCCCATCAGTGGGACCATGCGGACCAGCCGCGCAGCTTCGAGAGAACCTATGCCGGAACACGATGAGGCGCATCATCACCACGAACACAGCCACAGCCACAGCCATGGCCACGATCATGCGGATCACGACCATGACGCTCACGCTGACGGCGAACACTCGGACGAAGATGTCGAGGCCCAACATCACCACCACGTCCCTACCAATGCCTTTCTCTCCCTCGGCTTGCAGACATCAATCGCCATTGCGCTCCACAAGTTCCCGGAAGGTTTCATTACCTACGCAACGAACCACGCGAATCCGGCATTAGGTTTCAACGTCTTTATGGCCCTGTTCGTCCACAACATCACAGAAGGATTTGCCATGGCACTGCCGTTGTACATGGCACTTGGAAGCCGCATGAAGGCTATGTTCTGGGCCGCGATCCTCGGTGGTCTCAGCCAGCCTCTTGGTGCGGGCATTGCTGTGCTGTGGTTCAAACTCGCGAAGCACACTCACCTGACGCCGAATGCTGTCTCTTACGCTTGCATGTTTGCCATTACGGCTGGAATCATGGTGAGCGTCGGCCTTCAGCTGTTCGTTGAGGCGCTGAGTTTGAACCACAACCGGAATCTCTGCATCTTTTTTGGATTCATGGGAATGGCCCTGCTAGGCATCACGGGCGCCATCGCTTCCACGCATTGAAAACCCTGCATGGCATTGGTAGAAGAAAGCATTACGCTGGAAGATCAAAATTCCTCTCACTCGTCGGCGTTTAGGATTGTTTGTTTGTAATGGCGGGTACACAGTTTAACATGGATGGGCATGGATGGACAAGGGTGGCGGGGTACACATGCATTTTTACCATAATAATGGTCTAAGGCTTCACGGTGTTCAACTCATAGACTGGATAGGTGGCTCAGCATTGAGGCCTCTTGTGAGCATTACTCTGGCCCAAACAGGTTGGATTGGGGGTTGCTGCAACGCATTGAAGACCACACGGAATTGGAATTATAGATGTGGCCATTGAATAATGATGTTTGAAATCATTCTTACCTATATCTTCGCTGCAAGATTAATACGAAGGCGTGAGATCTAGGTCACTCTTGAAGCGCCAGCGCCTGCTGCGTTCAGATGGCAACGTGTGTAATGCAAACCAAGATACTTAGTGGTCGTGTATTATCATGAGCTCCACGAAAGCCGATGTTCTTAAGACAACTGCGCAGACGTAATCCACCATAAGACAAAATGAACGCAAGAGTATGATCAGTATAGTCATCAATGCTGAGCATCAGATCTCCAGCGAGGCCAAGGACCATGCTGAGATGCCATGCTACTGGATGGGCTGTTTCTCACGGTATGGAGCCAATGACTTCAATCCCGATTAGAATTGAGTTCGAAGCGCGGGCCGTTGTGGCTCACGCTCGGTTTGGGCTGTGCTTCCGGCACTGCTTAGATCCAACGGTCTCTTTTGCGCACCACATTCCACGAGATGTAAGAAAGACCGGAGCACGTAGAAGGCCTGCTATACAAGATAGTGTATGGGTATAGCATGCCATGGATCAAACAAAATGAAATACGCAAGAGCTCTTGAAACAAGAGAGGGTTCGAGAATAAGTGGCCGTGGGTCCCTAGCCACGCGCTCCCCTTGTTTATGACCCACGAGGAGCATATCGAGGGTCATCCAAGCAAACACTGGGCAGTACAATACTGTATCGTGAGGAGAAGGCAGAATGGATTTCTCACTGTGGAATCACGGCCAAACCAGCGTAGAAACGCATGGTTTCTCTGATCTTTCTCACTGTGCCCCCACTTTCATCCCGCCAAAGGTCACAGAGCCAAGGGGTCTAGAGCTTGGGCCGTCCTTCACCTGTCATCCAATCAGAGCTGCAACCTCCGCGCGCAATGTAAACAAACGAAGCGGCCCCTCTCCAAAATATCCCCGTCGCGCTCTACGTACCGCAACCGCAGCCCGGAACCCCCATCCACTTTCTCTCTCGCCTGACATCATCAACCCTTCCTCTTCCAAACCAGGGACTCGCTGGCTCGATTTCTTCCGTACTTTGTGCTCTCCTCTCGATCGTCACCGACATTCACGCAAACGAGCTTGACAATTCTCACGAGTCAACAGTCAACATGTCGTCGCCGCCTCGCCGTCGTTCGGCCCGGTTGGCCAGCACCAACACGCCCAAGGTAAGCAAACAGGCTACGCTCTTTGACCGCTTCTGTAAACAAACGGCGTGGCGCCTCACTCACACAATTTTTTTTCTTTATCTATAGCCCAAGGCCAAATCCACCCTGGCTTCCGTTGCCGAACGCGATGATACTCCTCCTGCTCAAGAGGTCGCTGAGAGTCTGAATGCGCTCGTCGTCCCGAATCACGACCCCGCGACGCCCTCTTCCCACTCGAACCTGAAGGCCCCGTTGTCGGAAATGCACCCGAGCAAGGTTCACCCCACCGCAGCACCTCCCTCCGCTACCTGGCTCGGCTTCAGAGATATGGACCCCTCCGACAAGAAGGCCGATCCCCAGGCGACGCCTTCGAAGACGCCTTTCAAGACCACGGGCGTGCCCGAGTCGCCTTTTACCTTCCGCGTCGCCCAGCCTACCGGAGACAATGGTCTGAGCAGCGATGCACAGCAGATGATGAACGAGCTGCGCGAGGAGGCGGCCAGAATCAAGGCCGAACTGCTGGCCAAGCGTGAGCTGGAGAGAGAAGACGAAGAGATCAACGGCCGTAGAATTGCCAAGGCCAGGGGCAAGTCTGGTCGCTTCAGCGCTGTCCATATGGCCGAGTTCAAGAAGATGGACTCTATCGAAGGTCATCCTTCAGCTTTCCGAGCCCAGCCTGGCCGGACCACTCCTCTTAAGAGCCTAAAGCGTACTCAGTCCAAGGCGAACCTAGACGATACGCCTACGCAACCCAAATCTAGCTTGAAGCGATCGCCCTCCAAGGCGAACCTGGACGACACGCCGACGCAGCCCAAGTCTGTCCTGAAGCGATCCCAGTCCAAGCCGAACATCGACGATACGCCCACTCACCCAAAGTCGATCTTGAAGAAGCCGTCCAAGATCAACCTGGGCATCCCTGACACGCCCTCGCAGCAGAAGTCTAGCCTCAAGCGTTCTCCATCCAAGGCCAACCTGGACGACGCGGATTCCAACAGTTCTACAAAGTCGGCTCTTGGACCTCGCCCCAAGTCTCGCATTTTCGCCAACATTGAACCACCTTCGTCGGTCAAGCGCATGCGACAGCGCTTCGAGGACGATGCCACCACAGCTCGACCGGTCTCTCGCGATGGCAGCTCCCTCCCGCGCCCCAAGTCTAGCGGAACAGATGCGCCTGCTGGTCTTCGATCTCAGCCCAGTCTGGCCTCCCTCACGAGCCCCACTGCATCTTCCCTGGCTCGGGCTGCTGGTTCCAAGATGCCCCTGCCTGGCACTCTCACCAAGTCAGCCAGCAAGCCTGATCTGGGATCGCTCGTCAAGTCCCCCTCGAAGCCCGAGCTTGGAAGTCTCAGAAAGTCGCCCTCCAAGCCTGATCTGGGTGGTCTCACAAAATCTGTCACCACCAACAACCTGGGTGCGTTGGAGAAGACAGCCGAGCTGAAACGCCGAATTGTGAGCCCTGGTCGCTTCGAAAGAGTCAAGTCCATCCTGCGCGGCGGAAAGGGAGCCTTGAATCAGACGAAGAGTGCTCTTCCCAAGCCCGCTTCTAGCATCTCTCAGACGCCTGCGCCGCAGGCTGCAGAGAAGACTATTCCCGCTGTTCCGTTCACCACTCCACGAAGGAAGCTGTTTAAGAGAGTCGATTTCACTCCGGACACTAACCGAGCAGCCGATGTTCCGAACACAGTTGCGCACCGAGCCTTTGCGAGCATGAGCCCTATCCGTAAGAATGGAGAGGTTGAGTACCCGAGCCTCGACGCCATGCTCAGAAATGGCAATGTCACCCAACGGAAGAAGAGCGATAACCTCTACCCCGAATTGAACGTTGGTAGCCCGTCTGAGAAGGCGACCGAAAACGCCAGCGAGAGCGCTAAGCCTCTGCCTCCGACTGTACCTGGCACGTTCACCTTCCGCAGCGACCACACCATCCGATTCGGTAGTGTCTCTCCCACTGGTTTTGGTTCGACTGCTGGCCAAGCTAGTGTCCGTCATGTGCGGACCTCGCTGGACATGCCGGGTAGCTTCCCCACCGGTCCCGAGTTCACCTCCAACAAGGAGAACAGATCGCCCATGCAGTTTTTGGCTGGAAAGCCTCACGGCATGACCAACAAGAAGCGGGCTCGAGCTCGTGAAGAGGAGGGAGACCTTGAAGTGGACTCTGGTGATAGAGCTGGCAAGAGACGCAAGGCCGAGCATGTGCCCGAGGGCGATGCTCTCCTGGCTCCCAGACTGATGGGTGCGACCCCCGGCACCATTGGCAAGAAGCTCCAGAGCCCTCGCGTTGCTCAATCGCCGAGCCCCACCAAGAAGCGCAGCGGTATGAGTCTGAGCCGACTCAACATGTTGGCGAAGCCGAAGGCTCGCCAGTAAGGATGGCAACAGGAAATGCCCGACAACTTGGCTGATCGAAGGACACACAACCACTTACATTGGTCTTGTTGGACTGTATAATATGACGATGAATGCGGATGTTGGCGGATTGGACACACGTGCAGTCGATTGCATTGGAGAGCCGATGATCTTCCGCAGTGCAAAGTCCAGAGGGATACGACTGGCGTAACAAGGATGCTTATGGACGGAATAGGCTGGACCACGAGGGTTGCATGGGGGGCATATGGACTGGTCTTGGCGTTCGTGTTTGCTCATTTTTGTACAATACCTACCGGCGTCGGGTCGAGATTATCTGTTTACTTTAGTTCTCGGCCAAAGGTTCTACCTTTTGCTGAACTTCAGGTCTTTGAAAAGTTGCACTTTCATCACGTACGGACATGTTGATCTTGGGTGTCTTGGTTAGATTGAGACAAGTGATGTTTGTCAAATGTTGCAGCAGCTGCGATGGGCAGCTTGATGGGACATGTGAGAAGGCACGACGTCTCGGTTTTCCGAGGCAGCTGCAACGATCAAGTCTTAACCAAACACATCTTCCATGCCCCAGTGCGGCCGCTGCATTCTCTCTCCCAACGTAACATCGACATCCGTTCATTTTCTATACAAGGATCATTCGTGACCGCCCCGGACTGGGACATTCTCTCAAAGACATGGCATCAACGGCGTCAACCCCGTTTACTTGCACCTTTTGCTTCCAGCCCTTCGACGGCCCCTCACACGTCATCGGCCGGGAAGCACGTCTGAGCTGCTCGCCTTGCTACGCCGCGCTGATCGACCTAGCCATCTGCTGGGTCTGCGGCGAAATTGTCTACCGCGGTGACGATTGCGTCAGCTTGGGGTAGTGCTTCTGGCATCGCGCGTGTTACGGGTGTATGTTTTACGGGAGCAAGCTCATCTACCGAGGGGTGTCTGTGCTGGACCTCTTTGACGAGGGTCGCGATGCTGGTGGTGGTGGTGATGGGAGTAGCATGGCTGGCAGGGTTGCTGGGACGGAGGGCAAGGGGAATATGAAAGAGGTGGAGGCGGTGCCGCTTTGTGCTTCTTGTTGTGTTGGTACGGAGGGGGAGGATGTTGTGCAGAAGGGGTTAAGGAGGGTTGAGAGGGTTGATGGTGGACTTGGTCGCGCGAGATGGGGTGCTGGCGAGGGTAGAGCTGGGCAGTTGAGGAGGGTTCCGGCGGTAAGTTGTGTGAGGATGATGAGGGTGTCGAAGCTAACTTCACGCCAGTCTATCCGGTCTCTCAGCCCGGACTCGTCATCGTTCCGCAGGATAGGGGACGGATCTCATGATGAGAGTAGAGGGTATCTCGCGACGCCGCCTGCCGAGTCTACTATATACGTCTCCATCAACGATCCCATCGGCCAACCTGCGTTCAAACCAAGTCCAACGAAGCCCATACCGGTATGGATGCAGCCATTCCGGGGCATCGATCAAGTGGCCAGAGAAGAGCCAAGAGGATTCCTTGCATCTCATCCTCTAGCTGGCCTCTCGCAGACCCCAGCGACGTCAATATCCGGCACCCCTTCAATGGAGTCGACGAATTCACTTACACCGACCATCAGACCAACTACGCCGGTACGCCCCACCTCCCCGCCGCAAACACCGCCTAGGTCTCGTTCGATTTGGACACCGTCTGAGATTCGACGAGCACCTCCCCTCTCGTGGGTCAGCAACGAGCCCCTCAAACGGCCCTCTTCTCGATTTGCCTCCCGACTCGAGAAATCGGACACGACGACCTCATCGGGTTATGTGACTCCGCCAGAGACGCCCTCTAAGCAGCAGACGCGGTACAACACCCCACCGCCACCGCCGCAACTACGGCGTGCACGACCGCAAAGTCCACTAGTACCTGCTCGCATCCCACGGCGTCACGCCGTACTCCGAACGCCTCCGCCTCAGTCATCCGAGTATCTGGAGCGGTACAACCCCATCCGGTCCCCGTCGCCGCGACCGCGGATCATACGGCCTGTTATGGCAGCATTCAGTCCAACCAGTCGTGCTAGAGCTAGCTTGGTGATGTCGGAGGACACAGCTAATGCGACCGAGGACGATGGTAGTAGTCCGAATCCGGGTTTGAATCAGAGCACGGAGAGGCTTCTCTCGGATGGGGCCGACTCTCCCGGCGAAGCAGGGAAGAAGAGGAACCTGCAGGCTTTACGGAAGCTGTTCAGTGGGAAGTAAGAGAGGTGGCGGAGCAAACATGCCAGACGCCAGAGATGGAGTAGCACTTGGGTAAGTATTCTTTACCACTAGTGATGATGCGGAATGCGGGAGGCATTCGAGAATAAAATATATCTTCACCAATAGAGACATCAATACCAGTCTCTTCAACGTCGTGGGTTCTTCGCGGAGCATGAATAGCATAGATAGTCAAATCAAGAAGCATCGATAAGCCAGCTGGCTGATCCAGCGTCCCTCTCATATTTATGTAGAGGGGTCGTTAGACTGAATGCTTCTTCACAAATAAAGACCAGGGTCGCGACATAACTAACGGCCGCGGTCGCGCGCCAGGGACCCCGTCTGCAGTCGCACTTGACATCCCTGCAAGCGCCCCCACACCTCACCCACAAGGTGTGTGCCACCGGCCCATCCCGCCAACTGGCTAGCACCAAATTCCATCCATCCATCAATCCAATCCAACCTCGACCTTGATTACTTTCCACTACAACCCGCGGATTTCTCAGCCTCGTCCCTCACGTCGCAATCGCAACTTCACCTACCACCATCAATCGTCCTCGCCCGAGCTGCTCCGCTCAACCACGTCGCCTGCGCTCCCCCTCTACCTATCCACAAACATCGAAGAACACAACAATTCACGCATATCACGCCGCGAAAAGATCGCGAAACCCAGCAACCCCCAAAATGGCACCGCTAGACAAACCAACCCCCGAAGAGCTGGAACGTACGTATACAACACCGCACATCCCTCCCTCCCTCCCTCTCCCTCAATCACATCCGCTAACATCATCTCCCCCAAAAAACACAGAGCAACTAAAAGACACAATCCAAGACCTCTACCAAATCCTAGTCCAAGTAACAACCTACAACGCAACCCCCTCGGCACCCACCGCCCCCGCCCTCGCAGACTCGGTCCAAGCCCTCTCGCAATCCCTCCAACGCGTTCACATGACCGCCACAGCAGGCGCCCCGCCCTCCCCCGACCTCCCCGGCGCGCTGCCCAAGATCCCGCCGGAACTGGTGCAGTACGTCGAAAACGGGCGGAACCCAGACATTTACACGCGCGAGTTTGTGGAGCTCGTCAGGCGCGGGAATCAGCTCATGAAGGGCAAGATGAATGCCTTTGCGCAGTTTAGGGATGTCCTTGCGGATCACGTGGAGAGGGGGATGCCCGAGTTGAGGGAGGATGTTGGACGGGTGTTGGAGGGGGGAAAAGTTGTTGGGAGTGGGAAGCCTGGTGGGTTGTGAGGTGCGCGCCTTTCCAGGTTGAGCGGGTTGCCCCTCAAGGCTAGTTGGGATTGGGAGGGTCCTCGAGCATCAGGATATGAGGTTTATGGAACCGGGCGGGTGAGATGGACGAATGTTGGATACGGAAAAAGGCCCAGGATCGATGGGGCGAGCAGTAAAAGGCGCATGGAATTTGATACCCAGAGAGAGACAAGAGTCGTGCGGATAGCACGTCACACAGAAAGAATCACAATAATTGTTATCGGTAACGCCAGGACATGCGCTTCCATGCGATATTTGCAAAGTCAATTACCAATTGTTCAACTATGCCTTAACTTCGCGCGCAAAATACACAACATTTTGTTGGAGGCGTCACTCAAGTGCCCTTTTCAAATGAGATATGCAAAGACGCCCTCCTAGCCCCTCTTTTCCCAGTTTGGGTCGTGAAATTCGGTTTGGTTTCTGGGGATATTGTTTTGGTCGTGAACTCTTGTTCTCTCTCTTCCTCTTCCCTCTCTCCCTAGTATGTCTCTACAAAAAAGGTTGTAAAGTTGTGAAAGGAAAACAAAAAAGTTTGGGGTAAAGTGAAAAATAGGGACGATTGGATCGATGCCTGGGTAAAAAACGCCGCCCGTGTGACACTTTTTCTGTGCGTTTGTAGTCTATCCCGATCTGCAGTCGTTTGAAAAACAAAAAAAGACAAACACAAGACTCATTCCCCGCCGCGGAGCCGTATGCCCAGCTTCCGGGCCCCTATGATGCAAATGTACACGAATCCCATAGCTGCCGCTACCAGCAACAGGAGCTGGAACGGGACCAGGACCAGAGCGGCCACAATCCAGATTCCATACTGGCGAATCTTGTCCACAATCCGGTCGCCTTCTTCTTGGCGCCGCTTCGTGTGGCTCTTCATCGGCTTTGCAGCGAATGAGCCGCCCGTATTTCGTCCCGACTCTGCTGACTCGTCGGATAGTTCTGCTTCTTCCTCTGACTCGGATTGTCAGGTTGAGAAGTTGAAACCGCGTCCACCGAAGCCGCCGGCACCGCCACCACCACGAGGGCGGCCGCCGCCTTCGGCAAAGTTGAAGTGCGCACCACCGCCACCACCTCCGCCGGGGAAGCCGCCTCCATTGAAGCCGCCACCACCGCCGAAGCCGCCGCCTCCTCCCATCATGTTGAAGAGGATCTCCGGGTCGATGCCGCCGTGCATGCCACCCATTCCTCCCATACCGCCCATGCCACCACCGTGGCTGAACATGTCGGACGGGTCCATGAGGTCTTCGCCGCTGTCATAGCTGGCACGCTTCCTGCAAACGGGGGTTAGCACATGATTGGGCAACGTGCACCCATATCAACTTACTGAGAGTCACTCAGGGTCTCATAGGCTTCTCCAATATCCTTGAAGCGCTCAGCAGCCTGCTCGTCGTTGGGGTTCTTATCCGGGTGATGAATGATGGCCAGCTTGCGGTAGGCCTTCTTGATCTGGTTATCGTCCGCATCCTTCTCAACCCCGAGGATCTTGTAGTAGTCCTTGCGCTGGCTCTTCTTCAGCTCCAGCTCGGCCCGGCGCACCTCCTTGGCGATGCTGCGGTCCTCGGGATCTAGCTCTTGGATGTTCTTCCACTCCTTGACAGCATCCTCCCACTTGCCTGCTTGACCGTAGGCGTTGGCCTTGGTCTTGCGAGCCTTGAGGTATGTTGAGTCCAAGCTGATGGCGCGCTCGCAGTCAGCAATGGCTGCGTCGTACTCCTTGAGCTTGATCTTGCACAGCGCTCTGTTCTGCAGGATCTTGGAGTTGGTGCCGCGGTTGGCGGGATCAACCTCAAGCGCGGCGCTGTACTTTTCAATGGCAGACTGCCAGCGACCCATCTTGTAGTCCGAGTTACCCTCCTCTTTCATGCGGTCGAGCTTCTGAACGATTCTGAGGTACTTAACGGCATCACGCATGTCGGGGTCGCAGCTGATGGCCTTGCGGAAGTGGCTGACAGCCTTGTCGTTCTCGCCCTGGGCGTACAGGGCACGACCGCGGAGCACCAGAGCCTCAGGGTCCTGGCTGTTGCCTCTCAACAGGCCCATGGCAAGGTTCTGTGCCTCACCGAGAGCGTTGACGGTACCCATCTTGAGGTACGCCTCACCACGCATCAGTTGCCACTTGCGGGGTCTGGAGGCTCCGAAGCCCAGTTGACGCTCGGCCTGATCAAGGGCGTGGAGCACCATTGATCCAGCAGTGCCGTCTCTCAGGGCACTCTGCGCAGCGTTGACATGCTTCAACATCTCCTTGGCCGGAGCCTGGTCCTTGGCTGAAGGGGGAGGGTTGATGCGGCCGAAGACGAGCAGGGCCTCTTGGGGCTGACCCAGGCTGGTGTAGATGCGAGCAAGTCGGAGGAGGATCTTGGGGTTCTCGGGGTCCAGGTCGGAGGCACGGGTGCAGTCATCGAGGGCGTACTCGTACTGGGTGTTGGACATGTATGCAGCAGCGCGGTTGCTCAGATAGGTAGCCGAATCGGGGACCAACTCGATGGCTGGAGCAGACTTGTCAATTTATAGCCCAGAGAGAGATTTGCAGTCGGCAACACGTACCCTTGGAGTATTGAAGAATGGCATTCTTGTAGTCCTTCTCCTTGAAGAACTTATTGCCAGCAGCCTTGTAGGCCTCGGCCTCGTCCTCAGTCGTGGGGACTGGACTGGAGGGGTTGGACTTGTGAGGGGGAGGGGCTGGAGCATCGCCATTGCCGTTAATATTGGTGTTAATGCCGTTTGACTTGGGGACGGAGAAGGAAGTCTGCGCAGAAGGTTGGGGTGCAGCAGCAGCAGCGGGAGCGGCAGCAGCAGGAGGCGAAGAAGGCGCCGCGCTCGACTCACGGTCGATATCCATGGCGTTTCCACTCATGGCTGAAAGTGCAGATAGTCTCTTTGCACGTTCTTCAGGAGGAAGGTTGAGGGGGTGAGAGTCGAGGTCGATTTTACTGCTCCTTCGTGAGCCGGGATCGGTGGGGTGGCGGCCAAAGGTGCGGGATGTGCGCGACGGCTTTGTCTCCCGAGGGCCTGGGGACGCAGGTTGGGAGGGTTTTTTGGTGGGGGATTTCGTCGGCGACTTGGTGGGCGACCGGGGCTTTGTGGGCGACTTTGTGGGAGAAGAGGCCTCAGAGGGAGGGAAGTAGCTCGATTCTTGGTGGTTGTCGTCGTCGTCCTGGCCTTGCTTCTTGGACGATTTCTTTGCGAAGAGCTTCATTGATAAAGCAAGCACCCTCTGAGGGGAACCAAAGAATGCGCAGGCTTATTTTTTTGTTGGTTAATTAGGTAAGGAGGGTCGGTACACCTCGATGCAAGGTTATGCTTGTGCACCAGATTCCCCAAACCACAATAACGGGCCTAGTGAAGGAGGGCGGGCAGGCAAGAGTGGATGGAAAAAAGCACCTGCTACTTTTTTTTTTTCTATGCTGCTTGGGTGCGTCCAGTGGAAGGCAGCGGAACCTTGCCTTGACCCGGATGGATGAATACGGGAGAAGGCGGCTGGTGCGGAAGTCGATTGCAGATGGTCGTCCAGGTCTTTTGTTCGTTCGTATCGAAGAATCCCCACGAATACAACGATGGAGAGGAAGTGGTGTGAGTGAGTGAGTGGAAGTGTGAGTGAGAGTAAGGTTGGAGAGAAGAGGAAGACGGATTGCCTACTCTCGGAAGGTAAGGTAAGGTGAGGGCGGATGGGGAGGGAAAAGAGGAAGGAAAGCCCAGGCTATTGAGAAGAGGCTCGGCGAGAAGACACACAGCCCATCGGAGTGGACACTGGAGGGGAGATACAGCCGGCGCAAGCTGCAGGGTGCTTTTCGAGTGAAGAAGCAGAGCAAAAAAAGTAATCCGTTACTTTTGGGCAGAGCCGATGGATGGTTGAGGAGGGGGAGGGGGCGGGATCTGTGGAGAGAGTCTGAGAGAGAGAGAAAGATTTCGAGAGAAAGAGGCAAGCAACGATGCAAGCAAAGCAGGAAGAAGAAGCTTTAGGAGCGGGATGCACAAAGTTGCTTTTCTGTTGTCATCTTTCGGTAATCCAAGGCAGGGGGACAAGAAAGGTCAAAGGTGAAATACCGAAAATCCCAGGATTCATCAAGCGAGACGAGCCTTAGTTGTGGCTGTCTCTCCCACCCCCAGGGGGAGGGACTCGTGTAGATTTATCAGCTGTGCACAATTTTTTCCACCGTTCCCTCATCTTGTTGCTTTTTTCCCGCCTGCCAGGCCTGTTGACTGGTCTGTCTCTCTGTTCAGTGCCTTATGGATTACGGGGGAGACGGAGACTGGATAAGGTCCCCGTCCAAATGCCCATGTGCTGGGCTGGGCATGCGTGATGTGGAAAATGTGCTAGCTAGCAGTCCATACACGGCGTGCAAAAAAAATTGTACATTGTGTCCGTATTGTACGAAAGTTACGCCCACAAGCTGCCCCGTCCAGAGGAACCGCCCCCTGGAACAGCACAGAAGGAGGAGCGCAGAGAAACACAACGTGGATGAACAATAACGGCTCTGCTGGGCAACTGGCACATGGCAGCTCCCATTGGGGAGAGGTCATCACCAACGGCAGCCAACCCCAACTCGGTATCGAGTACATGCAGAACTGCGTGTCAACTGCGTGTGCTGAGCTCTGCATGCGAGGTAGATGTAACCAAGCAACACCATCTAATACCTTACCTTACCTCAAGCACCAAGACAAAAAAAAAAAAAAAGGTCGCCCGCCACTAAACCCAACCCCACCAGAAGCTTGTCCAAACGGCCCAGTCCCGTCTCCCGTTGACTACTGGCAGTCCCCGCGGAGCCAATGGTACGCTTGGGGTCGCAACTTGTTTACTATGATACCTGCACCGCAGTGGATGAAGGGGATCGTCGGACGACCGCCACTGGACCGTTATTGAAATGTTGGCCTGGTGTCCTGTCGTCTCCTAGCCACCCTATTTCTTGTTGTCTTTTTCCAGTCACCGATGGCCAATGGTGAACCAGGCGCAAGAACTCTCGCGAACTTGCCAAGGGCCAGATTGAAGTTCGTCTTGGTATCCGTATCATCTATCCGTATTCCGTTATGTCTGTACTCCATACCAATATGGGACCTGGTTTCAATGACTAGAAATAGACTAGGATGATGGCTAGACTTTGGTTTCGCGAGAGAGGGGAGCTTGAGCTGTTCAGCCTCCATTTAGAGGGTCTCCATCTCCAGATGGGACCCCCAGAAGGCGATGGCGTCAAGGCGTTTGCAGGGACCCAAATGACCTGTCTCAAAAGTTACAGTGACGGGATTGAATTTGAAGGGAAGAACAGAAGTCAGAAAGACCCGGATGTTATCAGGTCGTTGACGGGCGATAATAGATTGAAATTGGCTCCCAACTGGCTTGAGGCAAGAGCCTAAAATCCTACGGTATTAGCCCAAAGTTAGGTACCTGCCGTCACCTCATGTCTTGTCCGTCCGATGTCCGGCTCGGATACAGACGAATATCGGCATATCGGGGCGTTTGCAACCAACGGTGACTTCTTCCTTTTCTTTCGCTGCAACCCAGCGGGCCGGTTCGAGAAGGTTCGGTGGGGCCCCGTCCCGGGACCCTGCACAGTCAGCGAATCATCCTCGGCCGTTGGCCGCTGTCAACCCTTGGGGCTCCTTGGGGGTCCGCCGAACCGCCCGAAGAAAGCGTTGCAACTTGCCGTCACTGATGACACCCGACCACTTGCTGCACCGTGGGAGGAGGGCGTCACCTCTTGCCTCAGGTCAGTCAGACTCTCTTTTCTCTGGAGTCTGACAGTTCTGTGAGAGAACAGACACAAAGTCCCCTGAATAGTTTGGCATGCAGCGACCTGACCAGCCAAGGACCCATGTCCTGGTCGCCACTACCGCCCGCCCCTTGGAAATATGTGTGCTGCAACTGCGGGTGCGAGTGCAGGCTGCACTCTGCAGAAGGGGGCCTGGCACTGGCTGATTTGCAGCAATTCCCAACCTCCTGCAAACCGAGCTGATGGCATCACCAATGGCCCATACCGCCCTCTTTGCCAGTTCACAATTTTCGCTTTCTTGACAGATTTCGTCGCTCTCATCTTCAGGACTACAGAATTATAGCGGAGCGAGCGGGTCAATCGACGTCTCTCATACATGCAGGTCGAAGCCAAAGTCATCCATCGTGCATGCACTGCCCGTTCAACGGGGGCCTGTCTCCCAGCCTTTCCCATTACCCAGAATCCCATATCGCACGTCCCGATTTGCGAGCTTGGACATCGCGACATGTCCTCGAGGCTCGAGGCTCGAGGAGTCGCGCCCACCCGATCTCGGTCGTATGTCTTCTTTCCTCAGCCTCCATGTTGTCAGGTCAGTAGTCACATCAGATGCCTGCGGTAAGGTACCGCGTTGTTACCCTGGACTCGGCGCTAAACGGAAACCAAACTGCCATGCTGTGAAACCCAGCCGAAATTATACCTGTTACCACCGTGCTCCTATGTGCTTGATGCGAGTAAAGTACAGTCATGTCCAGACTTGTTCGTCAATCCTCGTTTCCATGTATCCTTACGGATATTTGTGCTTTCGTCCCTGGGAGGTTTGTCCCCACATGCCTTTCGCTCATGTCGTCACCATCAATTCATCCCCCATGCGCCGGATACCTTGCCTGAATTAAGCTCAATCATCAGATCCCTCAGCCGATGCAGCTTCGGATGTCGTATTGCTACCCATGATGGAGTTGACGAAATCCTGGTACCTAAATACCTCACGGCGATTGCCCAATCCGCCTTGCATGTTGCGATTGAAAGCTCGTCTGCCCGTGAATCCCTCGATTACCTTCTCAACCTCGGCTTCTGTAAGCGGTCGCTCGCCGGGCTCTGGCGCGGTATGCAGAAGCGCATCCCGTAGCTCCGCGAGGTCGATTTGCCCGCTATCGTCGTCGTCGAACGCCGAGAAAGCAGACAGCAGCTCGGATTGTGGTGATAAGGAAGCCAGCATTGTAGCAAGGGAATTCAGAAAAGCAGCCATCGTCATCGTTTGAGGCGTTGATGGAGGGAAGAATAGTGCTACGTCGGAGGGTTTAGACGGCAGGCCTACAAATCTGTTAACCGAGAGAACTCCTTTGACATCTTGGGTATCTTGGGTTTTGATGCTTACCCAACTGATTCAGCATGTCGGCTACATCCTCCCTATTGATGATGCCATCGCTGTCGCGATCCAAGACCTCGAAGCCCTCTCGAAGCTGTCTGACTTGCGCAGGCTGCAGATGCGATATGGCGTTCCCGTGGCTCATACTCTTCTTCAGACCCGGCCGCAGAGGCTGTGGCGAGGCCATGGTGGTAGTTTCGGCTGTTGGTGTTCGCACTCGCGGTGTCTTGCTCTCGGCTGTGTCTGTTGGTGTGGTTGGGTTGCCGAAGCGTCCGTTGTTCGTAGCGTAGGATGCCTTGGTGGGCGAGCCGAAAGGTGTCACTTGGGTTACTTGGGTTACTTGGGTCGTCGAGTTCTGGCGCACTGCTGAAGGCGATGCTGGGGATTCTGGTCTTCTGAATGGAGAACTGCGAGGAGAGCCATGAGGCCCTAGTGGGGAAGGTTTGTAGCCAGCGGGCATTGCCTGTTGTGGGTTCTTCAGGTCAAAATTCATGCGACTTTCCAAGAGATTTGATGATCCGCGCGCGAAATGGGCCCTAGCCTACCATATCGAAGGGTGTTCGGGGCGGGAGCAGCTGTGGGTGGGAAATAGGGAGTGCCTTGCTCTGGATTTGTGATGCCGCGCGCCCACTTGGCAGCGAAGTAAACAATGAGAAATATGGGGATTCGGGCCAAGAGGCAACGAACGGCAAGCGTACGAGAGAAGAGTAGGTGGGCGACGGTAATGTAAAGAAGAAAAGCAATTGCGGCAATTGCGAGTTGCGCTTCCGGTACCGGTATCAGATAGAGCGTATTGTATTGATGAATGATTTCGCGTTGGATTTAAAATGGCGTTGTAGTTCAATTGTGGAAAGGTCTGATCCAGAACAAAGACGATGGGTGGCTTTGGGTGACAGATGAAAGTAAACAGAGGCGTCTTCTCCGTGACAACCGTAGCCTTGCATGACCCTCCCGTCCGTGCATGGCAATCCCGGGGAGGGGGAGAGCCTCATCCCTCAGGGAGGGGAGAAAGTGTGGCTATCAACATGTGGCTTGATCACAACTCCCTGCGTCAGCTGCCAAAATGCCTCTCTCCAGCCACATGGGTTTCATGTAAGGTCCCTTGGGCGCTAAGCACAGTTTAGGTTGAGGGCGACAGCTCGGACCACCCATTTTCTCAAAAGGGGAAAGCATAAAGGACAGGGAAGGCGGGGGGAAACGTGGAAAGGGGAAGAGGAAGGAGGGGACCAAGGGAAGGGGGTCCTTGGGGGCTGCCGAGAAAAGAAGGCCCTGCCTTTCGTGCCTTTCCAGTTCCATACTGTGGTAATATGTAGGTACTTCGTACTCCGTAAGGTAGGTGGGTGGTGTTGGTGGTGGTGGTGGGCAAGCCGCAAAAGGAGGGGGACTCGGGAGGGAATTTGGCAAAAAAAAAAAGAGGACACTGAGAATCCGTGATCAGCATTGTTCCCGACGCATTCGTCCAACGCTTTCTCGCAGACACTGCCCACTTGGCTCACAGATACGGATCCCAAGCCGACTGTCAACCACCTGCCTCCCACACACTAACAGCAACGTAAGGCCGCCTCGTGTCTGTTCTTCCCTCTTTGTCTGCCCGCGGGCTGAGTGTCTGACTTGACTGACAGATTGCCCGTCTGTGTGTCGGTCGATTGCCCACCAGCTGGCCCTGGCTCCTCCGAGATACGCGCGCTGAAGAGTTCTGAATCTGAATCTATCCGTAACCACGAGCTGCTCTACTCGTCACCTTTGGATAGCCCCGAGCGACACGCGGAGGGCCGCCAGTGTCCGGCGAGCACCAACCAGAGGTCCTTGTCGCGGCAATCCATCCAGGGGCACACTGCAAGACCTCCCCCTCCATCTCAATCCGACGCCCTGTTTGGTTCGCACCAAGGTGTGTGTACCTTGCTTCAGCGCGCCTTAGCTGAGCATTATTCGAGCCGGTGGGGGATCGAATTGGATTGCACAATTTTAAAAAAGAGGAAAAAGAAGCACCGCACCATCAACTACCCCCTGTCAGGAGTCCTGCCTGGTTTGGGACTCCCAGAAACCTTTCTGTACGTACTACCGACGAACGTACGAAGTACGGACACCTCAAGAAGTCAAGGATACCAAGAACGCCTGCGAGCCTGCGAGAACCGACAAGACCAGAAGACCAGACCAAACGTCGAAGCAGATCATGTCTCGGTGATTTTCTCTTCCACGCATTGACGCTTTCTGCATCCTGTCCCGACAGGATATACCTGCTCTCTCTCCCCCTCGTGTGCCCGAGGGACCATCCTGTTTCCGCTCGCTGGCAAAGACTGGTAAATGTCAGTCACTCGCCTGCATCTGACGTTTCGAAGAGCGCATTCGGCTATCGTCTGAGAACGCCTCCACGCGCTATTACCCTGGACCTGAATACGGTTACCTACCGCGCATGCCTACACTACCTTACGAATACCGCTCCTGGACTACCTTACCTTGCACCTAAAGATACAACTACGTACTATACCGCCTCGCCAACTCCGTCCTCTCCTCGTACCCATCTCCCCTTCCGTCGCCGCCCTTCCCCCCATCTCGCATCTTGCATCCTGGCTTATCGACTCGCACTTTGGCTTCAAGGAACTGCCCGACCTTCAATCAACTCTTATCCTATTCCAGCGACAACGACCTGGCAAGGAGTCACTTGAATGCCCTTGTTAATGTCGTAGCATCACCGTCGAATGTCGTTGGCCGCGAGCCATTAATCGTTCTGGGTAATTGTCAGCAAAGGGCTCCCACCATCGTCGCATTTCTCGATCGGAGACAAACCTACTTTTGCTGCACCTCCCCGAACGGACCTCTCGACTGCATTTGGATGGCTGTGGCTACCGGCAGCCTGCGCAACGCCTTGAACCCCCCAACTACCGACTTGTTGAACGACTCCGCAATTTAACACTGCTCTCGCAAGCATGGCTTCAACTCAAGCTGCGCTGCCGTTCCTCACGCGCAACTATTCAAACACGCAGAACCAGTATCCTCCCCCGCCCAACGGCCCCTGGCCCAGTCGTCGGACTTCACTCTCTAGTTTCCCAGCTTCGCGATCGCCTTCGTCAATGTCCAACACGTCCCGCCCGTCGCGATCTCCCCAGCCGCCTCCCATCGCCGAGACGGACCGCTCCTCGAACCCGAGCTCAAAGTCAAAGACACCATCCACTGGTGTCTCGTCACAACACTCGTCGCTGTCCGCCCCGAGGCGTTACAATCCTGATGCGCATCCTCCCCGCAAGTTGCGCTCACAATACCCGCGAGGTTCCACCGAGAACCATGTCGAGTACATCTTGGTCGCCTCCTTCGATATAGATCGTGGCCCGGTAATGGAGCACCAGTACCCTGTTTCCATTACCGGCGACGAACATATGCTGGCAGAACTCATGTTGCCCGATCAGGCCCACGTTCGAAACCAGGATTGGACTATTTTCTTCTTACACAAAGACACGAGCCAAGAGGAAGAGGACGAGGAACGCAAGGCGAAGGAGGCCAGGAAGAAGAGAAGAAGGCGTTTGCGCAATCGCGCTGCTGGCATCGTCGACGAGGAAGATGACGGCGCGGACTTGGATGAAGAAGACGGGGACCTTGATGACTTGGACGAATACGACGACGATGATTCGGACGACGGCGAACCCGAAGGCGGAGAAGGACCACCATTGATCTATGTCCTGAACTTGGTCAACACGAAACAGGACAAAACAGTCAAGAGAGGTGCTGTTGTCAAGGCGATGGCAATCTGCACGAGGCATCCCTTCCTGCATATATACAAGGTGAGAGCTTGCCCATCTTTCGCTCCCCTCGCTTGATCAGCCAGCTTACTCGTACCAGCCCCTTTTGTTACTTGCCTTGGACGAATACTTCAAGGCGCCTGTTCCCGAGACGCTGGCGATGCTCTACGATGCCGTTAACGCCATGGACCTTTCTCTGATGCCGAAGCTTAGCCTGCTTGAGAGGCACTTGCTTTTGGCCAGTGACAACAAAGATCTGTTTGTCGAAAAGTTTGAGCAAATGATTCAGATGCGGATAGCTGAGGACCGCGGCGAGCACCTCTCAGATCAGCCTTTCGATGCAAGTCGAGACCCTCCAAAGCTGCCAGGCGTTTCGAGAGCAGGAACGAAGGCGCACGTAGAAGGTGCTGGGCAGTATTCAGTTCCAAGGGACACGCACGAGTTTGAAAGCAGAGTCATGTACAAGGGCATACCAATTCCCATCAAAGTCCCCGTCGCCGTCATGCCGGAAACGGTGGGCGACTTTTCTTTGATCAAACTAATCCAGAAGTTCTCGGAGCCACAAGGCAAGGCGCCACAACCGTTCCCCCTGCATCCGCAATTGACGACAAACGGTCCGCATACGCACCCCATCATTGTATTGGTCAATGCGTTGTTGACGCAAAAGCGGGTGATCTTCCTGGGGCACAATATGCCATCAGGCGAGGTTGCGGAGGCAGTCTTGGCGGCCTGCGCCTTGGCATCCGGCGGTACACTCAGGGGCTTCACGCGACACGCATTCCCTTATACCGACTTAACCAAGATTGACGATCTCCTCAATGTTCCCGGCTTCATTGCTGGAGTCACCAACCCGACCTTCGAATTACACCCCGAGTGGTGGGATGTCTTGTGTGACTTGCCTACAGGTCGAGTTAAGATCAGTAGCAAGATCGAATCGGCCCCAGTAACGGAGGGAATGGTCTACTTTCAACAGCAGAACCCATCATATGCTGGGCTTGTCGGAGGCACCTCCAAGGTTGCAGCCGAAAGCGATCTGACAGGCGACTCGGCGTTCATGCAAGATATCCTACGGAGCATCGCGGCAAGGCATGGCGAAAGAGTAATACGCGCCAAATGGCGAGACTGGGTTATCAAATTCACTCGAATCGCAGCTGCGTTTGAGGAAAGTGTGTACGGCGCAAGTGCTCTTTACATTGGCGGCGACGAACTGGAGATGGGGCCAGTGGGCGTGAACGGACACGGCTACGTGTGGCCTGATGAACAGACGAAACACAAGGAGCTTGCGGGTAATGTGACGAGAATCGAAGGATGGAGAAACACAAGGAGTTACTACAGCTTCATCCAGGTAAGGGAGTCATGGACCATCACTCACCATTGCTCAGCATTGGAACTGACCATCGTAGGATCTCGCACTACTCTACACAGTGAGGCCGTTGAAAGGTCTCGACTTGCACCATATGCATGACCGACTTCGGACACAACGGCTCAACCCGATGCAAAGCAAGGAAATCTACGCTGCGTTTCACAAATATGTCCACTCTTACGACGAGATCTGTTTGCTGTTGAGCGTCGCGCCAGAGTCGCACGCTGGCCTGTTCTACGTCGCACTAGGCCTCTTCCACAAGGACCGCGAAGTGCGCCTCAAGACGGCCGACCTGTTGGAACGCATTGGCGAGCACGAGGCGGGGCAGCACTGGTGGAAGGCCCTCAGCCGGTTCGAGAAATTGGCCTACAACCGCATACGCAAGGAGATGGACGCCGAGATGCGGGCGAAGCTCGAAAAGGAGGGCTTGAGTCCCGAGGTGGAGAAACGGGTCAGCTAGGCGCTTTTCCTGACTTCTTCGGTTGCATCTTATTAGATATACTCCCATCACGGCCGGCGCTCCTCTTGTTTATCCCGACACTGGCGTTCCTGCTATATAACACTCATGTCATGCGCAAGATACTCCATGCGGCAGGAGAAAAGGTGCTTTGGGGTTTATTTGTTTTTTTCTTCACGAAAGTTATGATTGGAACGGGGTGGATGAACGTCGATTATTATTCTCAAATTTCAAGAATCTCAGCAGCAACCTACTACCTACTTAAAAAGAAGAATTACATGTCGACTGCGCGCACGCAACGTCTTTCTGCTCACAACATCTTTGGTATTCCAACTCGACTTGACTCTGGAGTTTCTTTGCCCCACTGCGTGCTCCCTGTCATCGACTTCAACGTTATCGTTTACTTTGTTTACAGTCTTGTCCGACCTTCGAGTCACGCGGAGCCGAGACCCAGGTGCTTGGCAGCGTGGTCTACATGGTCCTTGGCAAAGGAGGCCATGAAGAAGTAGGAGTGGTCGTAACCCTATTAAATCAGCTTGTCAGCGTCTGAGAGCTCTCAAATTTTCCTGAACCGGGCTCAACGTACGTAGTGGTATCTCAGGCTCAGGCCCTCGAGGCTCTTCTCCTTGACAACCTTTTCAAAGTTCTCGGGCAGCAGCTGCTTCTGGATGTAGAAGTTGTCACCGAGGCCCTGGTCTCTTGTGTTAGTGCCTACTCATATTGCGTCATGACAGATATAGCTCAATACTTACGACATCAATGAGGGCGTTTAGGGGACCGTAGCTCCAGTTCTTGACAAGCTCGGTGGAGTCGTGCTTGGCCCACTCAGCGCGGTCGTCACCGAGGTATCCTGTAAAGGCCTTCTCGCCCCAGGGGCACTTTGACGGGTTGGCGATGGGGGCAAAAGCGCTGACGGAGCGGTACATGCCCGGGTGGCGGAGGTAGAGCGACAGCGCGCCGTGGCCACCCATGGAGTGACCAGTGATGGAGACGCGGGAGCGGTCGAGCTTGCCGGCGAACTCGCGGAAGAGCAGCTCGGGGAGCTCCTTTGTGATGTAGGTCTCCATGCGGTAGTTTTGGCGGAAGGGCTCGCGGGTGGCGTCGACGTAGAAGGAGGCGGCTTCGCCGAAATCCCAGGAGTCGCGCTCGCCGGCGAGGTCGAGGCCGCGCGGGGAGGTGTCGGGGTAGACGACGGCGAGGCCGCGGGCGGAGGCCTGGGATTGGAAGAAGCCCTTTTCGGTGCAGTTGTCCGGGGTGCAGGTCAGGCCGGAGAGGTAGAAGAGGACAGGGACGGCGCGGGTGGTTGCTTGCGGGGGCAGGTAGAGGTTCACGGCCATGTCGGTGCCGGTGGAGTTTGACTTGTGGGAGAGCTTGAGGAGCTGGCCCCCGAAGGAGGTGATGGTCGCCTTGGTTTGGAAGACTGCGGTGGCCATTGTTGCTGTTTTGTTTTTGGGGGGTATCAACTAAGTGTCAATTGGTATTGAGGGAAAGGGGGGGTATAATTGCTGTTCAAGTCAAGTTCAGAAGCAAGACGAGAGATGGAGGGGGGAAGAGGAGCTTGGAATTATTCTATGCAAGTGAAGAAGGAAAAAAGAGAGGACCTGGGGGCTATCAAGAGGGAGGGCGGCATCTGAGGAGGTCTAATAAATAAAAACACCGAGTTAAGTCCATTCGAGATCAGATCGGAGAAGTGGAGGAGGAGGAGAAGGAGGAGAGAGGCTTGGCTTGGATTCATCTCTACCTACCCCCCTCCTCCTCCGTCTCGTCCTGCCATTGACCGTTTGTCCCTCCCCTTCATCATGATGCCAATTGTACCCCACCATGGACCGCCGAACGCCCAGCAGGGATGCAGGAGCGAACCCCTCCAAGGTCTCACCCAGCAAGGTGTGCCGTGTTGCAAGTGCTGCTGCTAGGCGTGTAACATGCCAAAGGTGGTAAAGCTACCCGGCAAAGTACGGGCCTACGCTAGCTACAGCTACATACCTATCGACGGCGGTCCAGTTTGCGTTTGTAATGCGTTGTGTGGGTGCGAGGTCTTTTCACTTCATGCTCTGCTGCGACGAACCCCGCATTGTTCCTGCGGGACCGCGGAGAGAGAGAGAGAGAGAGAGAGAGAGAGAGAGAGAGGAGAGCTTTCTTTTCTGGCAGTTATCTTTGGGCACCTCAGTGAGGTTGAACCTACCTAACAATCAACCAAGGTGGGGTGTGCGTCATCAGCTCTCGGCATGAGGCAAGCTTAGGAGACACTTTCCCGGGAAGGTACCCGCTGCGGCTTCTTATTCGGTACCAACGTTCGGTACCTCTCCCGAAAGCACTCACGAGTGGTTACAGTATTACAGCTCCCTTCCCGGCATACTTTCTTTCTTTCTTTCTTTTTATCAAATGCCAACTTTCCACCAACAAGACATTCTGCCCCATGCCATTCGATGCTTATCTCTCTACAATTCTACAGTAGACATCTCTGAGGGAAACGTTCAGTGCGCGGAAAGTCAAAGTCCCGACTCAAGGCATTGAAACTTTTGCATCGTGGTTTGGTGTATATTGGCCGTATCCTTTTGGGGCCAACGAAGACGCCCGGTTCTCCAGCATTGGTCAACATGTGAACTCGATTTTGAAGGATCGGCTGGTCCTTGCTGATAGGGCATTATCGAAGGAATCAGTCGGGCTTGGTTGGTTGACGGTACACACCAAAACTTTACTTCATGGGGAGCAGCTTTGATCGATGGGGAGCTCGCCTCCTGCTACGTGCTCCTCGCAAAAAACACAGTGAGATGAAGATATGGCGACTGACCAGCAGATCAAATCTGCTCTTCTAAATCATTTTCACAAGCTTGTCAGTAAGCCCGAACTCTGGCTGGCTTGCTTGAAGCATTCGATCACTGACTGCAAATCAAAAGCCGGACTCACCCTCTAGCGATTAAGGAGCGAGAAGCAACCACAAGCATATGTCAGATCCGCTACCACCGAGCACAAACGTGCATCCGAGAGGTTTATGCTGTCCTTGTCACAGGGACGACAGTTGGGATGGATTCGCAGAGGGCCCGAGAGCCGAGTAAGTGCACGTTCTACGGATTCTCGAACGACAACGCGCGAAGGGAAAGCGAGGCAGGCGCCCCCGCCCACGAGGACTCGAGAGACCAGGCCATGATTCACGTCGTTTTGTGATTTCGGGTTCGGATGACTATCTTGGAGGTTTGGAGATCGAGAACCGTCGACGTCAGTCGGGCCGCAAGAGATGAGAGCCTCGAGGTCTTTCATGTTTGGCGGGCTTTTCGGTCACAAGATGCCAAGACGGTTTGTGGAACGGCGAAGCGGACAGTTCTGAATACGTTCCGGACTACTCGGTTTCGTATCAGCTGATCGCGAATATGGACCAGAAATTGGGTGCTCTCAGTCAAGCTTCAAAGAAGTTATCCCAGCAGTGGTGCCAACAACTCTATCGATTATGATACAACATGCCAACTCGTCCAAAGGACTACCCCAACGAACCAATCAGCCAGCTCGCAGGCGTGTACTTAGGTCCGGCACAGAGACGGAAGCAGAATTCGCATCCGCTGAACCCAAACCGCCACAAGACGTTGCGAAAGACTCGGGTTCGAAGGACCATGGAGCATGAAGCATGAAGCCGCCCTCTGGAGATCAAGTCCAGTCCGCACCCGACACGTCTACATCTGGTCTGTGGTTCGTCGCGATCGCCCCTCTGAGGCGGACGAACCGGAAGAGATCGCTCGGGTGACGGGCCGCAAAGTGGCACCTCCGTGTGTTTGGTCCATGACGGCACGAACGTCATGCAAACCCCCGGACGGCCGGCATGCCCGGCGGTTAAGAGAAGCCAGGTTATCCCCTGGCTGGGCACTCAAAGCTCTAAGAGAACCACACCCGCAACGACGGCGAACGGAATCGAACGCTTGGGCGTCTAAATTCTCGACCCGCACTTTCGAGCCGGGGTAGTTCTCCGTACTCATGCCACGTTCGTTCGTTGGCCTCACTTTCAATATTCCGACGGTGGGAGGAATGCTTGACTCAAATTACATCTCTTGTTCGAGTTTGATATAGTTTACAGACCGCCTGCTCATCCCATATTCTCACACAGGTTCGCGACGGAGCTATGCTCCGCCAAGATAAGCTCGTTGACTCTAGGCTTTTCATCATGTCAAAACCAAAGCTGGTATCTCTCCAGCAGATAGCTGATTACAAGTTTACTCTCTATCATCTTTGTCTGTCTTACACACATGCGCCGCTATTATGGGATAATGCCAGATTGTAACTGGCAAAAAGGGGGGGGGAAAGCACGGCTCGATGTCTTCCGAAATAGTTATGCCATAGGGCAATTTCTTCAGTCCGACGCGTACACGTAACAGAAGGGACCGTTGATGGTATCCATGGCATCGCGAATGGACAGCTCGGCGCCCAGAGGTCCCATATACATCACGTCGTCGAGCGTCGCATTGGCGCTAGCCGGCTGGTTCATGGTGGTGTTGGTACCAAAAATGGTCTATGATTGTAAGGTCAGTATTTTCTCTTCATTTATCGCAAGCAGCGAGGCAACAGATCTCAAGCCTAAAAGGGCCACAAAGGCGACCATGGATTGACAACTAACCTGACGATTCTGCCAGTCCAAGTTCTGCCAGATCCAGTAGACCCGATCCATCTGAGCGTGGTGCAGATAGAAGACGGGATCGCCGGGGCTGAGGTAGACGTCGCTCGAAGGGTCTCCTCCCAGAGCATAGTGTCCGCCCCCGTGGACGCCAAGCTGGCCCGTCCCAACATAGCGCGAGTCCCCCTGCGCAACGGCCTGGAACCTCTCAATGCCCACCGGATCGCGGATCAGGTCCGTCGTGTTGCGGAGGCTGGCCCAGCGCTGGAGCGGGTAGACGTTGAGGTCGCGGCGCAGGCAGCGCGGGTTATCGTCGGTGGGCGTGGCGGAGTTGATGGACGTGACGTTGCCGTAGTCCGGCATGGCCTGCGGGCCGAGGTGGACCGTCTGGTTGGCAAAGGGCGCCGAGGACGATGCCAGGCAGCCGCCGCCCGTGCCGGCGGGGAGGACCGTTGTGGTGTTGTCCCACGCGTTGACGAGGACGAGACCTTGGTGAGGGGTCGGGACGCCGTCGCTGCCCATTGAGGTCGCGGAGCCGTCGAAGACGGGGCTCGCGGAGAGGTTGGTCGTGTCGAGGCCCCATTCCCAGTAGGGGAAGGATCCTGGTGGGGGATGTCAGTCGTGCTTCTCTTTACTTTCATGCCCAAGTGTGTGTGTTGTCTCAAAGGTGGTGAGCGTACCGTTGTAGCCGCACTCAGACTCCAGTTTGCTCTCGTATGTCCAGATGTAGTAGCGGTGCCAGAGGAAGAAGGTTGCCTGAGACGAGTGTCCGGGTTAGCGCGGGGTTCTCCCACTCATGCAAGAAACTGCTTCGTCTCGGTATTGTTAACCTACCGTCAGGTGGACGTAAAGCGTCGCGGCCTGGTGCAAGGCAACAAAGTCATCAAACATGGACTTGGAGCCGGCAATCTCGGTGTATAACTCCGGCTGCTGCTGGAGGCAGGTCACAGCATCGGTGTATCTGATGCGCTCTTCATCCGGCATGTTTCTCCTGTAAAGAAAACGCACATTTAATGTCAGTCGACGAGTACCTTTTCTACCAAGTGATCTATCTCAACCTCCCTGCTCCCCCAAGACTTGGGCCAGGAACAAAAATTAGATCTTAAAACCCAAAATCAAAAAGACTCACCACTCGCGACGGACTCTGACGTTGTCTTTCGTGCACTGCGCGGTCCCGTTCTGACCGGCTGCGGAGGCGTTCCCGAGACGGGCGAGGACGTTGCTGTAGGCCTGCTTGTTGAGGTCAGACAGCACGGCGCCGGAGTCGATGGCTTCTTGTGTGTGGTTCGTTGCCCTGGGCGCCACGGCGAGGCCGGAGACACCGCCTGGGAGCAGCGCCAGCACGGGCAATACAGCCGCGAGGAAGGATGCTGGAGGGAGCATTGTTGAGGGTCCGAGGAAGAATGAACGGAGGGCGTTGTAGCTGGACTCGGAGACAAAAAAAACCAGAAAGATACCGAAAAGGGAGGGAGAAGGGGAAGCCAGGCAGAGGATGCGATGTCTTGCTTGTCCAGATATCTTCCTCTCATCGAAAGGGAGGTTATTGAGTCTACTCTTATACTGAGTTGAAAACCCGCAATATCTTGCCAAGAGGAAGAGTAAACATATCGTGCCATGGGCTCGGCGACGACCAATAGGTTCCAAGCTCCATTTGCCCCTCTGCTATCCTCCCGGAAAGTCGAGTCCCAGTCAACGGGGCAAGGGAAACTTCCACGCCTTCCTCTTCCTCCTCCTCCTCCGGAGAGAAGTGACAAGCACAAGCAGCTGCAAAGTTACCCAACTAGTCGGGATAAAGGCCCACAGGGATCACGACATACAAGGGGGGGGAGGGAAATAGACAGACGTGACGACGCTTCATGGCTGTGAGTATACGTGTACAGCGGTACGAAAACAAAAGAAAAAAGAGGGTAAGGCGGGAAACATTAAGCAAAGGGACGCCAAGAGCTGTGGTTGAGAAGCGCGGTGTAGTGTTGGAAGTGAAGCGGAGCCAAGAGAAGTATGTGAGCTCGCCGACCTGGAGATAGGAAAGCCAAGCCGGACAGCCGCGGTCTCGCGTTCGGGAGCTGAGGTGTAACGTGTACATGATGGTGGTGGTTTCTGTTTTCCGGATGATGGGAGAAGAGGTTCCAGCTTGCTGCTTTTCCGTGATGAACGGCGCGATTCGAGAGGTCAGGCGGGGGC